TCTTATATAATTTTACAAATTTTCAGGCCCGCACTGGCCCGCAATTATAAAGTTTTGCAAATTTTTTGGCCCGGCCCAGCCCGCAATTATAAAATTTTGCTTCAGGCCCGGCCTGGCTCGCAAAAATTTGCGGGCCGGGCCAGGCCGGGCCGGGCTGCGGGACCCAATGCAGGCCTCTACCTCAGAGGTAATGTGTGAGAAGTAAAGTACTATGCAAGGTATCTCTTATGAAATCTAATAATATAATACAGGGTACTTTTAAAAAACACTAATATTCATATATCCTAACACTATAGAAGAGGATACTTTACCAGAATACAGTAGGCAGCACAATATGGTACTGTACTATTTAAGTAAATTTTGTAAGCAGTTTAATTTTTTTTTAACTCAATCTACTTAGTATATCTATTTTCTGCTCAAGGGCAGTTTTGATATTGTTACAGGTTAATTAGTAACTCGAGTTACTAAATGATCTAGCTCTCTTAGCAAGTACCACATTGAAACTTTTCTTATGACTTTTTTGAAGTAATCTCAAGATATATACTTTACTTATTTTATTACTAACAGTGTATATTTGAAAATAAATTACTGACTAATTCTTTATTTTTCGCTTTGCCTATAAATACCCTTTTGACTAACATTTATTATATCATAATTGGGTCATGCCATTTTAACTTTTAAATTAACTACTTACAAATTTTATGCAAATTAACTACTATTGTACTTCAACACAATACTGATCCCTATTTAATTAATTAATTATGCTATTTTTTCATTATGCATGCAATCTTCAATTCCAATTATAATTGTCATATAGTTATGTAAATACAACATTTAACAAATGTTCGATACCCCTTTTTTTTAAGCTAAGTATATCTATAAGGTTTTTTTTTTTTTACTAACCTAATTAATTACCTACTCCTCTAGCATTCTAAATTTATTCTCCTTACAAGATACACCACATACTGTTCTTTATTATGACAATATCCTTTTATAATTCATAAGTTTTAATGATTAAATACAAACATTAAATTTTTATATATTATTCTGACAGTACAAAATTTACATAATCATCATGTTATATTATTTACTATCAGAAAAATATAGAATAAAAATATTTAAAATTTTTATTTTATTTGAAAAAGAGCTAGAAATACAATCATCTGTTGCTACACAAGCTATAAACTTTTTGTGTTTGTGAGTAAGAGAAAAGTGTTTAAACTTTTTATGCTAAGAAAAAAAGGTCATAGTGGAAAAATACTGATAACATGTAAGACAGACTAATCTTAAATAGAGTTCAAAAGAAATCGAATGACAATGTTGATTGAAGCCTAAAATTTTTAATTTGTCCACATACTGAAGTATGTAAATGGAATTAAGAAAATGACCATCTCAGCCTTTGATAGATAGTAGCAAAAATCCATTGTTTTTAGCTAACAAAGCAGCTGCTTCTTCAGCTCTTCATGTAGAACAACAATTGACATCATTACATTTTTGAATATCCAAAGAGTACTAATATATTTGGCAATGGTTTTCTATTCAGCCCTAAGATATATTCGAAACTTTATTAAAATTGTCAATTTGCTCATCAATATATTCAACAATTACTTCTTTATTATGAATATAGTCTTGTTGCCAAATATCACATAGCTTTTCATCAGCATAACAAAAATTTTACTTTGCAAAGTTTATATTCTCAATAATGCTATTAGAATCAAGCTGTGAGCCAAAATGATCAATAGGTAGGACAATACCTGTTAACTTTTCTGAAAGAGTAGACATGTTATGCTCTATAGAATTGTAGGCAGATTGTCCAGAGGCATAGGTTCTGACAGTTAAGTAATTCAAATTTAATTTTATAAATAATTTACAATATTCTTTTATATTTTTGAAGTGCCTGGAGTTCTCATTAGAACCACTGTCAACAAGCAAAACCAGAATTAGTTTAAATTCATTTTTTAATTTTAGCATATTATTTAAAACAGGATTTTCTATTATAACCATTATGTTGACCATATGAGTTAAAGAAAAAATTTTGATCAACTATTGTAGGCAAATAAAAATTGTTAATTGACTATTACATAATAAGTTATTTGAATCTTTTGGGTCAATCGTAAGATAAACTGAAGGTATTAGTTTTTGTTTACTTCCTCAGAAAAAGTCATGATCTTTTAATTAATAATAATAATAATTAAAACCAAGCTTAAATAATTTATATACAGTAAACCTTCTATAAGTGCAAGTACTTGGGACAAATTTTTAATGATATGCACTTAGAGAACAATAAGAAAAATGCATTTACAGAGGTTATATATATATATATATATATTTGGACCTGAATTTAAATATGCATTTAGAGAAGGTATGCACTTATAGAGATTTTAACATATTTGCTTATATATAATTACCAGGTATTGCAACTGGTTCATGAGAAGATTGCACAGTTTTAAATTTCCTCTCAACTGCTGATATTCTAAGTGGAACTTTTGCCTTATCATCTTGTGATATAATTACAGAATAAAAGGCAAAAGCACTAGCAAATTGTTTTGCATTTTTGATCATTTGCAAACAATAGTACTCGTCTATATATTTGGGCATTTCATTTCTAGATACTATGTTTACCTGAATAGCCATAGGATGGTAGTGTCTTTTGGCATTCGAAAAATTAATTCTTCTGGGCCAAGTGTATATATATAAACAGGTGCATGATATATAAATTTAATATTTTCTTCTATTTCTTTTTTTAAATGAGAAATAGTGCATACTTTAATAATTTCTTTCTGCTTTTTTTTGGCAGCAGTACTGAACTTAATACATGAATGCATTTGCTTAGAAAGATTAGGATTTAGAAGAAAAAAAGAGGAATGCCCAGGTGAATCATATCTAATAACTTCCTCTCTAGTTTCTAAAGCTTCATATTTTTTTTGCTTAACTTTTGGCTTGTGCAGCAGCATGTTTCTTTAATTTTTGCCTCTTTTTTTTTCAGCTTCAATTTCTTGTTTAGTTTTATTAATTTGAACTAAAAAATCATGATATCGTTTAGGATCATATGTAATATTATACAACTTATTTAATTCATTAAGCTGTTTTTTAGCATATTTTTGTTTAGCTAAAGAATTTTTTTAAGCAGTTGCATTATAGTGGAGTTTTTCAGATTCTATTGTAGAGAATAAGGATGTGGATAGTATAGATATAGGGGAACTAATTCCATTTGATATAACTGGAGTAGGCATAAAAAAAGTATATTGAATAGGTCTTAAAGATGTTTGTAAATAATTATTTATTTTATTTTGTATAGTTTCTTTATTCAAATTTCATATAGTCTTCTACTTTTCTTGAGCTTTTATAAAAATATCTTGTTTTTTAGGAGATAGGGTTTCCATAGAAATAGCCAAATAATATGTATATGTATTACAAAAGTTTTCATATAGGTTTAAGAAATTTTTGAATATTAATTTTTTATTGAATTTTGGAGTATCTAAAAACATTTGTATTTTTTTTTTTTAATTTTTTTTAATGCATTTCAGAGGTATATATAATTACTTAAATTGCTTATAATTATTAAATATCAGAATGACAAGAATATTTGCACAACAAATTCTTTAGACATAGGCATACCCACGTGATACAAATTTCTTTATACATAAAAAATTAAATATCACAATTAATACACATTATATTTGTATATAACAAGTATTCAAGAAGGAGATTTACATTATTTAGCATGAAGAGTACTTTAATCTACAAAATATGAGTATATGTTTATATATATATATATGTGCACCTACTTATTGCTATCACAGTGTAAATTTGATATTTTATAACTGATTATATCTTTGACTGATTATACCTTTTATTGCTGCAGTTGAACTTTTTTTGATATATAGAGACAAACTTATCTTATAATTACACATTTTTGTAAGAATCTTGTATGATTTTGTTATAGAAAAGGCTGATAATACAGATAAGTTTTTAGGACCATCATATTATTTCTATAGATATCTAAGGTAAGCTGATCAATATGGTTTAATTGATTAGATCTGTATAGTAAAGGCTGATTCGAAAAACATTATACTATCCCTTAGATTGTAATACAGGCAAATTTGCTTGCGTTAATTTTTTTAAAATTAATTTTTATAATAAAATTTTAACAATTAATTTTAGCAATATACTTTCTAAGTAAAA